TCGCACAGGGCCGAGAGCGCCCCCTGATGTCTCCTACCGGGTCTGGGCCTTGTTGCGGCAGGGCCCACCCCTCACACCTCCTCTGATCCTCACTGTCCTCCTAGCGGCACCCTGGGGGAGGGGTTCAGCATGTTCATTTGGGCTAGACACCGACATTCAGTCCCAACCACGCGGTCAGCTGAGGACTGCCGACCTTACCGCATTCTGTAATAACTTGTGGAAGTTCTGGGTGGAGTTTCTGAGGTCACATGCTCATGTCATCTGAATGCAAAGAGACTGTCCCTCCCAGGAGTGGCTTCCTGCTTCACTCCCTTCACTAGGAGCTTCAAACAGACTCCAAGGGAAAGTGGGGGTGGGTGGACACCGCCTTCCTGACCCGACAGCCAGGGCCTCAAGAGCTCAGCACACAAACCGTCCTACTAGGTCGGTACCCACATAGCGGCTGGGCCCCACTCCCGGTGAACCAACGGGGCGTCAGGGAGGGACAGGTTCAGATGGGCTCCCAGCAGCCTCCTTCAGGATGACGTCAGACAGCTGCACGGCTCTTGGGGTCAGCCTGGCCATGAGAGCACAGGGACTCCCCTCCTGCCGAGTCTGCTTGGGGAGCCCTGGGTGCAGATCAGTCACTGCCAAAGTATGGCCGTAGCTCACAGCCACAGTGTGGACCTTAAGTGTCCCCAAAGGCCCCGTGGTGAAAGGTGGGCTCCCGCTTGGTGCCATCTGCAGGTGGTGAGAACACTGAGAGGCAGCCAGTGGGAGGTCTCCGGGCATGGAGGGGGGCGCCCTTGAAGGGTCAGTGAGACCACAGCAGCTCTCTTCCTCTTCCATTCCCAGCCATGAGGGCGTTCCTCCTCCACCACGCACTCGCACCAGGACGTGTCACCACACAACCAAGCCATGGGACCAACTGGTCATAGACTGAGCCTTCTAAAACCATGAGCCAAATAAGTGCTTTCTCTTTACGCAATGGTTCTCTCAGGTATTTGTCACAGTGACAGAACACTAACAGGCCGTCTGTCCTACTAGCATTGGGGTGGGACAGGGACACTGCCAGTGTGCCTGGCCCTGCAGGACACTTAGCACGTGCCAGCTCTCACAAGGAGCCCCATCTCAGTTCTGGCTAGATCCCGGTCTCGCCTTCTGGGGCTGGGCTTGGCTGCCTTCCCTGAAGCAAGTGGCCTGAGGCAGGTTCCAGGAAACACATGGGATTCCGGGACAGTGACCGAGGGCCCAGCAGGGTCCGCAGCTTCTGCCCCTGGGTGGCATGGTCCTGCCTACCCTCTCTTCCCCAGAGTGTGGCCCCGCAGTGTGGGGAGGAGCGTGGCGTCCATCCCTTCCTGCCTGGAATATCTGGCCCGCAGACAGAGCTCACTGTGCACTGGCCAGACCAGGCCCTGGCTCGGTGGTTGTCACCTGGCGCTTTGACAGCAGTGCAGCTGTATGACGACGTCCTTGTGGCTTTGAAACTTAGGTGTTTTTTTTTTTTTTTCCCAATCATCTTTCCCCTGACCTTCTCCCCCCATCTCTCCTTCCTGGCCTCATTTTCTCTGACCCCCCTCTGGAAAAGCCCCCTGTTCCTGTGACGGGCAGAACCACAGTCCCCTGTGTGTCTCCTTTGCTACAAAGCAATTTCCTTTTTCTCAAAACTGTGTCCTCATTATCAGACTGGCACTGGGGACAAGGACCGAGCTTTCGGCAACAGGGTCACTGGCCTGTTCATCCTTTTATCAGTCAGCTTTGGTCGTGAAGTGGCACCCCCTTTCTCTACAGAAAAGCCCTCTTCACCATGGCTGGCTTTAGGACTGTCAGCAAAGGAGTCTCTGCAAAAGAGTCCAATGTAGACAAACTTCCTATTTTCGTGTCGCCCTGTTTCACCTGGCCACTGGCCGGGAAGCTATCAGCACTCAGGTGCTGGACACCCCCTTACTAGTTTTTCACAAACGTATCCTGTATAGTAGTTTCTAGAAATGTGTAACAAGGCCTCTGGCCTTGAGCTGGGCTTCACAGAGATGTCTACATTTTTAAGATAAGTTACAACTGGGCTCCATGGTAACAGCTGGCAGGGGGAGGAAAGAAGGGGAGAAGAAGCTCCCCCCTTCTCAGGTGTTGTCCTTGAAGAGTTAACTTGCCCAAAACAGAGAAAGAAAAAGCTGCTTTTATGTGAACTTCTGCAGACTGTGGACTTCTGAGCCCCTCCCCTTACACGCTGGGTATAAAACTCTGGAACTCCCTGAACTCGGGGTTCAGGGGATTAATTGATTACAGCAAAAGCTGTGCCCTCTGAACCTGGCTGCAGCCAAATAAAACTGTTTCCTGCTGTCTTGGGTGCCTGGCCTCGTCTGTCCCTACAACAGTCACTTACGTCTTTGTACAAAATCACCCACTGTCCTTTCTTCTTCTTCTTCTTTCCTTCTTTCTTTCTTTTTTTTTTTTTTTTTTTTGGCGGGGCTGGAGACGAACCCAGGGCCTCCTCTTGCTAGGCGAGCCTCTACCCCTGGCACGTGTGCCGGGTCCTGGGCCCTCTAGTGCGTCTGCACGTGTCCTCGCGCCCGTGAGTTCCTCCTGCAGCAGCATCCCCCAGGCTTCTCTGGGAGCCACTACTCCTGGCCAGCCCAACCCCTCTCATTTTCTTTCTGATATTAAAAATAACTCCAAATGTGGGGGACAGCAGTGTGTCCAGCTGACACAGTGCATTCCTGGTCTCCCTGCAGCCACAGGTGGCCTTGTGACAACATCCTGAAATTCTGAGAGAATCTTGGGATGTTTTCTTTCTCCTTCTGTGTGTCTGCGGGTGGCTGTGTGTGTGGTACTAGGGACTGAACCACCCAGGGGCACTTTACCTCTGAGCACATCCCAACCCTAAGGGGCCTCAGCCTTCTGAAACACCAGGATTACAGGCGTGGCCACTTCAACTGGCTTTGCTTATCTTCTTGATGCTTCTTCCCTTTCCCTGGCTCTAGCACTAGGTGGAGGTGCATCTGGGCAGGAGGCCTCTACAGAGTGATCTAGGGGAACACAAGAAGCAACTGACCCCTGGCTGAGCCACTGGAGCCAACCCCATGCAGTCAAAGGCAAATCCCCACTGACAAAATCTTTTTTCTCCAAGAAATGTATCAACTTTATCTCAAATAATCAGCTATTTTATTATTACTGATATCCACTTTTTTGGGGGGAGGATACGGGGGATTGAACTCAGGGGTACTCGACCACTGAGCCACATTCCCAGCCCTTTTTTAATTTAGAGACAGGGTCTGACTGAGTTGCTCAGTACCTCACTTTTGTGGAGGCTGGCTTTGAACTTGCAATCCTCCTGCCTCAGCCTCCCAAACCACTGGGATTATAGGTGATATCCACTTTTAATCTTTAGTCATTTACTTCTCTACTTTTTTTAATTGGTTAATTTATTGTGTGTATGTGTTTGTGTACAACCCCCCCCCCCAAAAAAAAAAAAAAAAAACCACCTTTGGCCACATTCTACAAATTTTATCTAACACATTCACTTCCTAGTTCCATTTAAAATAGTCTGCAATTTCTGTTTTCACTTCCCTTTAATTCAAGCCTTACTGAGAAACATCTCATTTCCAAATAGTTACATTTTATTTTGAATCCTAATTGGAAATTTCTAGACATCCACTCTAAAAAAAAGAAGCTTGTAACCACACTGTTATCAAAGGAATATGTGTACAGTTTGATGAAGCAAATAGTTCTACAAGGCCTGCTAGCAAAACAGCAGCCCATCCTCCTCTCCAGGGCTGACCCCTTGTTAACCCTTTGAGCTGATAGTTGGGTGATTAATCCCACGACTCCACCCAGCTGGCCCCTCCTCCTCCTCTTGGAATTTCCCTTCCGTGTTCACTGCTGAGCCACACCCCCAGTTCTGGAGCAGTCTAAGGTAGGTATCACCTACTGATACTGCCCCAGCAGCAAGGCCTCCACCTCATGTCCTCGGAGCAGAATCATGTTAAAATTGTCCAGGATCAATACCCAGTGTTGACCTTATGAGGAGGAGAGGGCCAGAGAGGCCTGATGAGAGGGGTACGGCAGAGGGGGGCCACTGCAGATGGTCCAGCAGGCCAAGGAGCTTAGCTTACAGGATTTAGAACAGGGCCAGGTGTGTTCATTGGGGGCGGGGGCATAGACTGAGCCCCTGCTGGGCAAAGGCAGTTAGGGGCCCAACGCGGAGGTCAGCGAGGGAGGCTGGGACTTCCAAGGAATCAGACACAGAGACCTGTGGTCTACCTGCGACCTGGTCGTGCGCCCAGGAGAGCGAGCCCACAGGACACCTGGAGACTGATGACAGGGCCCAAAGGAGGCACACTGCCGGGCGAGCCCTGCAGGGAGCGCAGGTCCTGGAAAGTCCACTGCCACAAGGGAGCGGTCCCGCGGGCAAGACGGATCTGAAAACAGGCCAGTGCTGGAGACAGGCTCTGGAAGCGAGCGCTCTAAAGAGGCCAGCAGAGGCAGCTCCGGAGGCACAGGGACCGCTCGCCCGGCGGGGAAGCACGCCGGCTTTGTTCAGGAACCGCACGGGTCCTTGTCCCCAACAGCCGTCTAAGACCCACTGCAGACGTTTTCGGGGCGAGGTTCCCGTTGCCGGGGTGACAGGTGAAGGCCCTGCAGTCCCCGCCGTCCGCTTCGCGGTCTGATCCCAACTTTTGCAAGCGCCGAACAGCCGCCGCGGCGCCTGCGCACTGCGCTCGGCGCGCAGGTCGCGGTTGCCCGGGGTTACCGGATTCCGCGGACGCCGCGGGCGGGGCGGGGCTGCCGCCTGACCCGCCTTTCTTGCGCTGTGGTTGGCAGCAGTGGCTGTCCGTCGGAGCGGCCGTCACCGCCTACTGGTCGCCTACTGGTCGCCCCGCCCAGCCGCGCCGGACCGCCCCGCCCGCGAGGAGAGGCAGCAGGGGACCCTGCCCAGGACCAGGGGCTGAGGGCGGCCCTCCCCGGCTCCCGAGGGACCTGCCGCTCGCAGCCTCGCGGGGCCGGCTTCCAGGCGGGCGGCGATGATCCTCGAGGAGAGGCCGGATGGCCAGGGCGCCGGCGAGGACAGCGCCCAGCTGCAGGCGGCCGGCGGCGTCCGCAAGGTGGGGTGCCGGCGAGGGGTGCAGGCCCCCCGGCCTCCTGCCCAGCTCTCGGAGGCTCGGTCGGGCGCGCGGCCTTCCAGGCAACCTCTGGGGAAACTGAGTCGCCGAGCGGGCCAGAGCCCGTATTCCTCCCCCTCTGGGTTCCTCTCCAGTCCCTTTTGGGGTTCCCAAAAGGGGAAAGGAGGAGGCTTCCAGGACTCGCTAGGAGCCGAGGTCGGGACCATCATTCCCCTGAAGTTAGGGACCTAGGGACCCACTTCTTTGGCAGATGTTGGCTTGTCCGTGACAGCTCCGGATCAAGCTCGTTTTGTTCCTAGCTTTGCTTTCTGCACCCATTAGGAACTGGGTGTCCATCTGATGTTGCGTGAAGGTGCAGGCAGCTGACGCGTGCTGGACTGCAGACCGGGCAGTTTGCCCTCTCTGGGTTTCTCTGAACCTCTGCCCCCTCCAAAGTCCCTAATGCGGGTGCTGACTGTGCCTGGGTTTCCAGGAGCCCTGGGGTCAGGGATGGAGAGCCATCCTGCCTGTGTCTTGCTCTGCAGCCCTAGTCTGGGCATTCCCTGGGGGTCAATGAGCCCCCCCCCCCGCCCCCCGCGTTCATGTGGGCTCTGGGCACCCATGCCCTGCATCAAGGGCTTTCAGTTGGAATCTGCTGAGTGGCTCATATGGCTAGTCCCAGGCCTCTACCACAGTGCTTTGCCCTCTTTCCTAACCAGCATCAGACTACACATTGTCCCTTGCTGATTCTATTGAGCTTTTGTGTGTCTGTGGCTCAGGTCTCCTAGGGGAGGAGGGAAGGGAGGCCTCAGCCAGGAATTAAACTGCAAGGAATTGGCCAGTAAAGATGACCAGACCCACTAAGGAGCTCTGTCTCTCTGCCCACCCCTGGCATGCCAGGTGCCACAGCACCTAGCAGGCACTGGACAGTGAAGGGACCTGTCTCCTGTCCTCTGTGAACTGTCCCTGGTAGGATAGCCATGCCAGCAGGTGGCCTTTGGCGGGAGCACATGTTGCTTTGTGTGGAAGGAATGTCTGGGGGCGTTGCACAAACAAGATGTGCCAGTGGGCTTATAAGACAGCACTTCTCGGGCTGCGGACTGAGGGCTGTGGCCAGGCCCTATCTCTGCCCTCCCTTGGCTGCCACCCTAGAAGGGGGATCGGAAACCCTCCCCAGTGGTTTCTTGGCTGCTGTGTCTTGTGCACACATGCCCTGGGATGACCCACAGTCAGGGTTCCAGGGAGGTGGCCTTGCAGCCCCAGCCCTGCTCAGGCAGGCCCTAAGTCACACTGCACAGCTCAGGTGGCTTTGCCCTCTGGAAAGTCTTCTCCAAGCCCGCTGGCTGCAGGGCTGAGTGAGGCCAGGTTCCCCAGCAGGCCCCTGACCAGCCGTCCCACTCCATCAGATGGGGAAGAACTGGTTAGCTTGCGAGAAGCCATGCCTGGGTCTGAGGCCCCCTGGACAGGGCTGGGTGACTTGGATATGCCCACTACTTCTCAGGCTGTGGGTGGTGGGCTGTGGCCAGGCCCTATCTTTGCCCTTTCTTAGCTGCCACCACAGAAAGGGCCTGGGCCTCAGTTTACCCATCTGAAGAGCCACTCATATCCCCACCTGAAGGCTGACCTGAGGGATGCAGGGATTCTGCAGACCTTCGTGTCAGCCTCCTCAAGGGGAGGACCGCAGGTGGGCACTGACTGGCCGGATGGGGAAGTGCCACATGGCTGAGTCCCATGGCTTCCTGGGACAGTCAAGGGCTGAGGGATGAGATCAGGGCAATGGGACAGTGGGGGAGGTGGGAGGGGCTGGGCCTCTGTCGGTCTCTAGAACACCAGCCAGGTTAGTTCAACGTACCCTGCCTGGATGGGCATCAGAACCCTTCGGGTGCTTGACCCACAAAGGGGTTCCAGGGCCCTAGAGTGGGGCATGTGACATGGTGCCCAGGTGAACATCAAAGGAGCAGTATCCTGAGGACACGCGCCCTATACTAAAGCTGACATGCCTGCCACGCCGTTCCCCCTAGCACGTGTCACACTGTGTCCCCTTGGACCCTGTGCCCTATTTGTGGACAGAGGTGGCAGCACTGGTGAATGCTGAGTGTCCCCATCCTCTGTTGAGGGGAGAGAGACCTCAGGAGGGAAGGCTGGGGCTCTCTGAGGTGGGTGAGTTCGCAGGCAGGGTGCTCAGGGGTCTGACACTGGGATGGGGGTCTCTCCCAGAGAGCAAGCCCAGCTGGGCACCCCTGGGAGAAGGCATGGGGCCATCTTGCTCTGTTTGCTGTTCCAGTCCTGTGCCAGGCCAAGCGTCTCCTCCCTTTTGCGAGTCCTAGGGACAGCCCAGACTGGCCACTGCCCTCTCTTGGCTGCCACCCTAGAAGGGGGATCAAGCACCAGGCCCTTGGTTTCTTGGAGGGAGTGGGTTGTTTCTGTTCTCCATCCCTTTCCACACGGGCGATCGCCAGGCCCTGCCCCTGCTTGATGCACCCCTTTGGGAATATCGAAGACCACTACAGGTTCTCTCTGTACTGGAGAGAGCCAGAGGAAGTCATGGTGGGGATAATGGCACAAGGGAGGGTTAGGTGGCCTTGTTTCCACAGAATGAGGGCTGTTTAACATGTCTGTGCCCTCCCCACTGGGCACACTCCTCAGCTCAGCGTGGAAAACTGGGCATGGGGGCCACCAGCTTCCAGAGTCCACTCAGCCTGAGGCCCAGCTCTGACCTGCTTATCCCCCTTCTCCCCACACTGGTTAGAAGACTGGCTTGGCCTCCTGGAAGGGACACTAAGGGTAGAGAAGCCAAGGAAGGACCCAGCACCTGGGGCAGGTGCCTGCAGGGCCCAGAGTGGTCTGGCTGGGACCTCCCTCCAGAAAGGGGGTCAGGGGCTGTCATGCAGATGAGGGCCACCCTGCCGAGCTGAGGCACTGCCCAGCCCTCGGAGCCTGCTGGCACCTTGCAGTGACTTTTGGTTCAGCAGTGGCCCACCTCTCCAGGAGACCGCCATGACCTCCATCTACCCTGCCCAGCAGGCAGGAGCTGCTGCTGAAAAATCACAGGCCCTGGTGACAGCTGTGGGGCAGTGGATGGAGGACGCTCCTTCTACTCTGCTCCCGCATCTGCAGTGCTGGTGGCCCAGGTCCCCAGTGGGAGGTGCTCTAGCCGCTGCTTTTCCAACCTGGTTTGTCGGGGGGTCACCTCTCCCTTATCACCCCAGGACCACTTGGGAGCCTCCTGCCTTCAAGCCCCAGCCCAGATGCCCCTCCTACAGGAAGTCTCCACTCCTTCTTGAGGAGCTGGCTGTGGAGGAGAGGAGCCTCCTCCGTGCCAGGACACAGGTCACCCTTGGGGAACGCCCTCCAAGGGACTGGGATAAGCGACGGCCCTGGAGGATCTGAGTCTCTCCTAGAGTGACAGTAAGCCACACTTCTTTGAATGTGTGGCCAGAATCAGCACTGCACAGATTAGAGCCACCTCCTGTCTGCTGTCGGGACAGGGTCCTGCCAGCTCTGTGGCTTCCTCCCTGTTCTGTTAGGGTGTCAATGACCACCATGGGGAAGCTGCCCAGGAAAGGAGGCTTCTGAGAGGTCCTCACCAGCCCCTGGATGGTGAGTGACCCAGGCCAGGCAAGGCCCCGATTGACTCAGAGGGGTTCTGATCTCAGGCTGCACCTCACCCGTGTCCCCACTCCCTGGCAGTGCTGGGAGAAGCCGACAGCCAGAGAAGAATGGCGGGAGTAGCCCAGGCCACTTTCCTCATGTCTCCTGGGAGGAACCTGCATTCTACTGGGGCTGAACATCTTGCTGTCCACCTGTACTAGCTGCCCACAGAGTGCAGGCCCACAGCCTGTGGCTGTGGTGTCCGTGGCTGCCTGGTGCCTGTGGCCATACCACCCTGCAGGCCCTGTGGGCAGAGCCCTGGAGCCAGGCTCTATCAGATCCCCAGGTTTCAGGGACAGGCCTCTTGTTAAAGCTGCTCACCCTGGGCCTTAGTGGTGGGCCCACTGGAAAGGTGGCCCAGCCCCCAAGGAGGGCTGTGCTCCCTGTGTGGCTGGGCCACAGGTCCCCAAGGAGTGAGAAGAGGGCTCCAGAGAGAGCAGATAGGGAGGGCTTCCTGCTAGGGCTTTGCATCCTGCCTTGAAAGGTGGGCCAAGGGGACGGGTGCAGCTCTGTGGACGAGTGTCTGCTTGGCACACGGGAGGCCCAAGGTGGACCCCAGCACTGGAAAGCATCACAGTCTCCTGTGTTCTAAGAGCCAGGTGCAGTGGCAGCAACTGTAGTCTCTGCTGAGGTGGGAAGAACACTTGAGCCCAGGGGTTAAGACCAGTGGGAGACCTAGGAGGCCCCATCTATACAGGAGAAGGTGGGCATGAGGGCTGGTGTGATGGATGGCTGTGCAGGGAAGCCACTTGACAGGTGGCCCAGTTAGCTGAGGCTGGCATCTATGGTGACCTGAGGGGAGAACCCTGTGCTGGCTGCGTTCTCTCTGAGACTGTCAGGCTCTAGCCCCTGGTGACTCTCCCTTCCCCGAGCACTGCTGAGGTCCTCTGGGCCTGACAAGCCAGCCTGTGGGGGCTCTGTGGGCTGGGCATGACCCACCGCTCTCTGCAGGTCTCTGACCCCATGGCACAGACTCAGCACAGCTGGCTGCAGAGTCACAGGGCCCGGATAAGTCAGCAGATCAGCAAAGAGCTGCGGATGCGGACAGGGGCTGAGAACCTCTACAGGTGAGCACCTGCCGCTCCCTCCCCTCCCCGGGGGAGGGCCACAGGCCAAGGGTGGTGGCCCAGGTGGCTGTCTGCCTGCAGTCGGTCCAGAAGCCAGAGTGAGCAGGTTTCCCTCTGGGTCCCCACAGCCAAGCAGTACACTTACTGCTGAGCCAAGACCCCGACAGGGCAGGCCCGGCCCACCTCTGGGCCCTTGGGCTGGGGCCCAGACACCCCCAGCTTCTGACTTCCCCTGGCCTCCCCAGAGCCACCAGCAATGACCGGGTCAGAGAGACAGTCGCCTTGGAGCTGAGCTACGTCAACTCCAACCTGCAGCTGCTGAAGGAGGAGCTGGAGGGGCTCAGCAGTGGCCCAGACACGCACCAGCC